ATAGCAAACTTTAGAGAGTCTAGCTACTTTTTAGTTTGAGAGATTGATTATTGTTTTGGTTTATTCTTAGTTAAAAATAGTTTTAAATAGATCTTGAAAATGTATTTCAAATTCTGGGTATAATTGGTATAATCGATGAAAGCCTGGAGGAATTGGATATAAAGGTTTCTCAGAAAAATAGGTAGAGAAGTGATGATATATTTTGTTTAGAATTTTATTATGTTTTGTGAGTAGAGTATTGTTAGTAAAAAGATAATTACTGTGATCAGAGAGTTTAAAATAGGTAACTCCCTAGTTGGGTTGCAGGTATGGCAGCTAGTGTGGAACCTCGGGCAGACTACTTAAATAGGCAACCAAAAGTTGCAGGTATGGCTAGTCGTACTCTCACTTGTAAAAAGTCAGAGAGCTTAAATAGGTAATCTCCTAGTTAGATTGCAGGCATGGCGGCTAGTGTAGAACTCAGGCGGACTACTTAAAATAGACAACCAAAAGTTGTACGTGTGGCTAGTTGTACTATTGTTATAATTGTAAACGTTGTTAATTATCTAATAAAAAGCCCCCGGCCATAGAGGTCATCTTAACACCGAAAAAAAAAAAAAGCCAACCTAGCATTTTACTACTACTCTCTATTAATATTACTGATTCTCTTATATCTTTGCTTTTCTATAACAATACTGCATCTAGCAACCTTTTCAAATCACTTTAGCTAACAAACCTTTCAATCAATTTACTTTCTTTACTGATGGTTCTGTTAAAAATTTTAGTATAGAGTAATGTACTATGGGTATTGGTTGGGCCCAAATCCGTAACAATACAGTTATTCACAACTTCTCAGCTCAAATTACCAATTGGCCTTCATCTTACAAAGCTGAGCTTCTCGCTATTCTCTCTGCAATCTCTACTGTTCTATGCAACTTCTTGGTTGATATCTTTACTGACTCTCAATCTATAATCTCCAAATATAACAAGTTACTTCAGATTTCACAATTCTCTACCAAATATTTCAAATTTAACTCATGGCCCATTTGGCATACAATTTTTAACTTTCTCAAAGCCTACAACATTAGCCTAACTTTCCACAAAGTTCAAGCTCATGCTAATAATGCTTTTAATAACTTAGCAGATCACCTTGCCAATAATCATGCATCATCACCTATCCTGCTATTTAACTATTCTAATATTCACAATTCATACTTCTTTTTCCAATAAAAAAATCTCTTTATCAATAGCCCTACTAGACAATTTATCAAAAACATCTGCAAAGCAAAAACTATTTCTATGTGGTTTTCACAAAATAGTGCTTCTGAATAGTCACACTTTTTTAATATTATAGACTGGAACTCTACCTGGCTTTATTTTAATAACAACCAAAAAAGATCATATAACTTCACTAATCCCAAGGTTAATTATCTCAAATCTTTTAAAATTAAAATACTACTTAACAATCTTCTTACTCATTCATACTTTTATTCTATATTACCCAACATATTTCCATCCTTCTATTGTTTTTAATACAACTTTTCTAAATCCTCTACTCATTGGTATACTTGCTTCAATAACAACCTCTTATTGCAGATTATTCACTCTTCTATTTCTGAAACTATTTTTAATTTTAACCTCAACCTTCCTCACTACGAACTAAACTACCTTATATATACAATTTTCTCTCATCCCTCTTTCTCTCTTCATCTCTCACACTATATTCATACTCTCTTCACTCAACACTTAGAGGCCTCATTCTTACTTCTTTCATCCAATGCATATTACTATTTGACAACTTATATTCTCTTGCCTTCCAAATTATTATCCAAGTTCTTATCAAAATCTCTAACCAACTTTACAATCAAATTTGAAAATCATTCTTTATTAACTTTTCTACTTGGAAAAAAGCACATCAAATATCTTCAAACTTTGTTTTTACTCAACCCCATCAACAACTCCTTCCTTGTTCTCATCTTAGAACTTGTAATATATTTACATACAACTGCCCCTGCAATTTACCAAATCAACTACACTCTGATTCTAATTCTTGCTCACCTGCTGGACTTGCAAATTATAAATTTAATATCTGGGCTACTATGTGGGCCTAGTATAGCATTCCCACTAACTTTATTTTAACTATTCAAATCTTGATGAGTCTTGACCACTCTAGTAGATTTAGATCACAGATAAATAATTAGTCTGAGCTCTTATTCTTGCATGTAGTTTATATTTATTCATTTGTATATGAATTAAGTTTTTATTTAATCTCTATATGTCTACTTATATAAATTACTCAATAAAGATATAAGCAAGGCCTCATCTTTTAAAATTAAAAAAAAATATATATATACTGGAAATATAAAGAATAAATATCAATATATTCAAAATAAATGTTAGCTAAATAAAAAGTACCTTTTTTATGTCCAAATATCTATCCTTTATATATTCACTTTTAACCTGGTTATTTGGCAGATCTATAGAACAAATCTTTACAAATAAGTATTATATTTATATAATTATTATTATATTGTTAAATAATATTATTATTTAAATTATTTTATAGAAGTTAGAAAAATAACAATATTTTAAAAATAGCTTTATTTAGTTTTAACTTAGACTATTTAGAAAAAAAATGAAATTAATTAATAAAAAGTTCTAACAATAAATTAATAAAAACTCAAAAGAATTATCATTATCACAAATTAATTGAATTAATTGATAAATTAAATTACTTGTAATTAATATTAAAAATAACATACAATCATTATTTTTAGAATATATTGCACTTTTTTAAATATAGAAAATATTAATCTTTGATATAATAATAATATAATTGAATTAAATTTTTAACTATTGGCTAAAAATTCCATATCAAACAAGTATCTTAACTTGATTATTTATATTTGTAACAATTTATTAATTTTAAAAGTTAATTATAATGATTAGCTACAATAATATTTAAGATTGATTATGAATATTTAATAAGCCAACAACAAATAAAAATTGATAATCTTATAAACCAAAAAGTTTTTTAACTAATTTATTTACTATAAAAAGTATCGAAGATAGTATTTATAGACATTCAAATTAATTTTAAATATTTTAGTATCTTATTTGGTATTTTTTAAACTCCAAATTTTAGCTTTTAATAATACAATTAAGTTAAAACTTGAAGAAGATAGTTATCAAGTAAGATATAAACAAAATTATATATTAATTACTATATATATTCTTAATAAAAAAAAATTAGCTTATTTTTGAAAAATTAGCACAGGTATATTAATTTAATTAATATATATATTGTATTTTTTTTTTAATTATAAAGGTAAGAACTTGCTCTTATCTTTATTAGATTTAGCAAAAACTCCTTACATAGTTAGAAAAAGTTTTAACTTTTAAATCTAAAACTAAGAAAAAGAACTTGACATATATCTAAGTAAAGCTAAATACTTATCTGTAACTTAAATCTATATATATATTGTATTAAATTTATTTAAATATAATTAATATTAATTAATTAAATTAATTATAAAACAATTATAATTAGTAACAAGGTATATTAATAATGGGTATATTAATAACCTATCTTAAATTACTAATTAAATTTTGGATACATATCATATGATTTTATATTATATAACAATTAGCTAATAATGAATAGCATCACTTAACAAGTAACCTACTAGGTATTCTATATGCCTATGATTGACTAATAAGAATTCAAGAATTGGTGCACCATTAAATAATATAATCAGTATCTAAGTTCATATTTTTTGGAAAGTTAATTGTTAACAGAAATTTTTGTTTGTTTATTGTCTATATTCTTGAAACTTGCTAACAGTTTAGATTAGCTAAATTTATATTGCTGTCCAAAATTATACTTTAATTTTGCCTGAAGTTGTGTAGTTACACTGTATAAAGAATTGTAAAAATATTAATTTTCTATGATTTGGCCTAAAAATATCATTTTATATTGATCTATACAAATCAATATTTTTCTGGGTCTCTGGTATTCTTATATTAAACAAACTCTAAAAATTTTGAATTATAGTATATTAAAATTTCATATATATTTAGTATATAAAAAACTTTTTATAATTAAAATTTCGTACTAAAAACTTTTTTAAAGGTCAAAAATAAGTTGGTTGTTTTGTTGCACAAGATCCTGTAATTTTATTAGTTTCAATATATTAAATTTATAGTTAGAAGTAACCTTTGACATAGGGTTACCTACCTATGGGTGATCTAGTTAGTACTTATATATGTACATATCTTTATAAAGGTTGTTTTTATAGTACCAGAACAAATTATATCAATTATAGTTAGTGCTGGTTAAATTTAATATAGTTATAAAAAAAATTATTTTTTAATAGCTGCTTGATATATAAGTATCAAGGCAACTTTTGTCTCAAATCATCAACTATCTAATCAGACATGTAATAGGCCTGGTTATGGTTACATGTTCGATCAATCAATAGAATGAAAGATACATTGTAAATTAAGTATGTAGTAATTGAGTAAGTATAAGGTAATGGTTTTGTAAAATATTAGTAAGTAATTAATATCAATCATCCTAACCTCTAATCTAACTCAAAAAATATTCAATTAGAGGTTGAATCAAATATAGCTTTCAAATAAGATCTTATTTTAATTAACAGTATGTATTTGAAATATATAGCATTTGCACATTAAACACAGGTACAACAAACTCATCAATATTGTATTTTAGTTGAAAAGCTTATCAAACAAATAAAAAGCTAAAAATTTATAATTGCAAAATCATATCATATAGCAGAAATTTTAATTTTACTCACAAGTTCATCTGCTTAATTCAATAAATTCATTTTTTCAAAAAACAATTTTAAGAATCATAATTTACATATATTAGACTGATGCTTGTTTTTCTTTTTTGATTCTAATTCTGATGTTTTAGCTTGATTACTCAAACTACTATTTTTGCTATTATTTTCTTCAATTGCTATTAAGAACCTTTTGTTTGCAAAACAGCTTTTATCTGATCACAATACTCTTGAATCTTGAGATACTTGTTCATTAAGTCCACCTAGTGATGATAAAAATCAGATTCAACAAGTAAATTTCTAAATATGTAAATCTAAAATAAACCTATTCTATTTGTTGTTATTAAGCTTTTTTTTAATCTTTTTAACCAGATTTTGATGGATGTGAAATATATAGTGCCGAATGATAGTTTCAGAATAACAATTAGATATGGCTACTTGCATTGCTATATCTGTATCTGTAAATATTGTCATTTGGTTGAAGGTTACTATTAGCCAATTTAGTTTGTTCCAAAATCTACTTGTAAGTTGATACAATTTCATCACAAACTACAGCTATTGCTACAATTCAGCTTTGTTGATTTGAGTCAATTATGATAAATACACTTAAAAGTATCATATATTTGTTGATTTTGCACATGTTGTCATTAATGATAACATTGTGAAATCTAGATTACAATCTTTTTTGTTTGGAAGATATCCACAATATCTTGAAAAGCCTATTATCGATGTCTTCAAAATCAACTTTAAAATACCAATCCAGATTTTCTTGCTATAACCTTACTAAAGATTCATACAAAGTTAAAGCATTATTTTTATTTTGAGTATTAGCCTTAAATCTACTTATTATATTATAAAAATCTCTATTGTAAATTTCTTGATCAGAAAACTTATTCTATAATATTTGCTTTAATATAGTCACCTTAAAATAACATTCTTAAATATAAAACCTAATCTTTTCTTTTATATTTGTAGATATTTTTCATAACAATAGTGAAAATTGAAGCAAATTACTGTCTTCTAATATATAATTGTGTTTATCAACAAACTTATTAACAAATACACAATTTGGATGCTTTGGTATGATGCATTTAACACAAAACTATATTCTATACAAGCCGATTTCTGCTCTCTATTTGTTGTAGGATCTAACTTCTTTTTGAGCAAGTATTTACTTTATATTAACATTTGTAAGTTTTTTTAATACAAAATTATTGTTATTTTCAACTTTTACTATTTTTGTTTTTAACCCCATTCGGGTAAAATAATATTTTAAACACTACTTAAGCAAAATAAAAGAAGTAAAAGTCTGCTTAGTATATATCTTTTTTAATAGGCTATTTTCAAGTTCACTTTCTAAATCATAACCTTTATTTATATTATCTTCAACATTTTCAGTCCTATTTTCAGAGTCATCACCTTCAAAAATATCACCAGTATCTCCAATTATAGATAAAGTACTACTTTTACTTTCATATTTACCAACTTCAAATATACTAGTTTCATCAACATATCTGATTATAAGCAAAGTATTGATATCTATATTATCTTCAGGCTGATATAAAATTTTATTATTCATATGATAGTCATTAAAGACTTGATAAAAATTCATCTAAAAAAACTTACAGTTAGTAATAAAGCTTGAGTTAAAATGTTTAAAATTTTAAAATTAGAAGGTAAAGCAATATTTATATTATTTTTAAAGTAATACAGAATTTCATTATCCATATGATAGTTGGTAAATGCTTGCTAAGACTTTCTAATTTCAGATATCTAAAAAAAAACTTAGTTAATAATAACAAAGCTTGAGTTAAAATATCTAAAATTGGAAGGTAAAGCAATATATATTATTTTTAGGGTAGAAATTTTAGTATTCATATAGTTATCGAAGCTTAATAAAAATTTCTAATTTTATATATTTAAAAAAAACTTTCATTTAGTAATAAAGCTTGAGTTAAACTATCTAATTAGAAGATAAAGTGATATTATATTATTTTGGAGCAATATAAAATATTGTTATTTATATGATATTTATCAAAAACTTAGCAAGAATTTCTGGTTTCAGATATCTAAAAAAAACTTTTAGTTAATAACAAAACTTTGAGTTGAAATATCTAAAGCAAGAATTTTACCATAAAATTAAGAGATCATAGTCTTGAAAAAGGTATGCAAAAAAATATATAAACCTAAAGAAAAAGTTTTTTGTCAGCTATTAATTATATATAATACTTGAAATAAGATGTAAAAATAAGAACATTACTATAAGACAGAAAAGGTTTTAAAGTTTAAAAAAAAGATATATGAAAAAAACTGTAAAGTCTAAAAAGTTACATGTTAATAACAGAGTAGTAAAAATTTACTAAGAGTATTAAATCTAATACAGTTATAAATATGAAAAAATATGAAGAGCTTATTACTTTAATATTATGTCGCATCACTAATTTAGTCAAAGGTATGATCCTTTTGCATCATGCACCTTTTACTTTTAGATATAGAAATAAAAGGAGTTTGATTAACATGTGATCAAATTTCTATTTATTTGTTTGTTATTTAATTTCTGGTCACTCTGATCCAGAGATGGTAAATGACCTGGTCATTTGCTCAAAATTTAAATGACCCAGTCATTTGGTTAAATGACCCTGGTCATTTGGTC